CGAGAGGGCAGCCCCTCGACACAGCCCCCTCAGCCAGAGCCTTGCCAAGGGAGAGGAGTTCGCAGGAGAGCTCAGCACCCCCCTCCTTCCCCCACAGCAGCCACAAGCCCCCTTGTTATGGAAGAGGATTTATCAAAATTAGAAAAAACAACCAGATATCTTTTTAAAAAAATCCCAGCTGAAGCAACATCCCCCAACTCACAACCTCCCACCCACCCCTCACTGCCCCACTGAAAAAGGGACACAGGACATGTGGGAGGGGAAGGGGCAGCCCTCGCCTTGCCACCCAGCCGTTGGGGACAAGGGGACAGTCACGTAGCTTATCGCTGCTGGGGAGCCCAGTCGGAGCTGAGATCCTGTCACGGGAGGCTCCTCAGCCGGCACCCGCCGGGCCCCTCCAGTCCCCTGCAGTGACTCTCTTTGGCCCACCTGCCTTTGGAACAAGCCCCAGCACACCCCAGAGAAGAAGTGGCAGCCCTGAGATGGCAAGGGGGGCCCCCGCTAGCATGCCCCCAGGATACATGCTGCTTTTTAGCAGTACACACAGAGCTGAGCCAAAGGTCGCAGCATCGCTGAGCAGGCCAGGAGGGAGCCACCTCCTTTCCCCAACCTACACTATGCATTCTCCCACCCCTGAGAGCAGGGAAGAATTGCCTCCCCGGGTGCAGTTCAGTTAGGAGTCATTGGGGAGCCCGAAGAGCTTGACGGTGCCTGCCTCCCGGCTGCTGTCGTATTTGCCATCTTTGTCATCACAGGCGAAGGCCAGCAGCGGCCTCTTTGGGTGCCAGGCCACTGTGAAGGTGGGGGACTCGCACTGCACCTCCCAGAGCTTCTCTCCTGCATGGAAAAGGGACCACGTCAGCCCAGAGAGCCTCGGCCCTCCATGCCCTCCAGGCACACTAGAGCCAAGCAACTGCTTCTTCTCTCCCGCCAGGGCAGAGGAGGAACTTCTCTCCCTCCAGGGCAGAGGAGGAACAAACAACGCTTCAGCGCCTTTTAATGACCTGGTGACAAGGCACAGACACGACACGCACGTCTACCGCAGAAAAATGATGCAGAGGCTCCCCCTCACGGTGCTTTGCTCTGCACAACCAAGACCAGATCTTTCAACACCCTCCCAGCTCCACCAGCAATTTTCCATCCAATTCCCTCCTTGCTGTTCCCCAAAACCATTACCTGTCTCCACCTCTGCGATGTCAATGAAGTGATCTTCTGACGCTGATGCCAACATCTTCCCATCATGGCTAAAGCTCAGCGTTCGCACAGGCCAGTCAAGCCTGCAGCAGGGCAGTGAGGCAGTGAGTGAGCATCACCTGCACCACCACCGGCGAGGGGAGGGAAAGGACCGGGGCAGCACTACCCACCTTGAGAAGCACCTCACACACACCAGCTCATCCACATCCCAGAGGCTGACTAACGCGTCGGCACTGCCCGTAGCAAAGTACTTTCCCATGGGATCGAACTTGATGCAGATGCAGTTTGAAGGATGGGCGTTGATGGACTGAATGGGTTTCAGCTCTGGGTAGCTGCAGAGGTGAAGGGAGAAGGCAGGAAGCAGTGAGAGGAGCGTAGTGCTCATCTACAACCAGGGCAGGTGGGACTGGGAGCAAACCAAGCCAGTGCAGGGCCTTGAAAACCCTGAGCGAACGAGGCAAAGCATCAGGGTGACTCTCAGGGAGCCCAGCCCAGAACTGGGGCAACCTCAGCTCCAGGCGAGTTCATTCCAACCCGAGGGCTGGGAATTGCTGGAGTGTGGGACGGGTTCCCCAAAAGCAGCAAAGGGGCTTTTGGGCGTATTTCCCGCGCG